TTTTTTTTTGTTGCTCAAAAATCTTTGAATAGTTGCACTTCATATCTTGCTGCCTGTGGCATTGTTTTCATATCGCATTCATCATATGGATCAAAATTTGTTGTATCACCTGGTGATTTAACTTCTGGTTTTACTGGTGGTTCTACTTTTCGATCATAAACATCTCCCCATGAAACACCAACAAACCATTGCTCACGTTTTATTTCCTCACCACCATCTCTTGCTGAACCAAGTCGTTGATTTTGATCAATATTAAGTAATTTACGTATAACTTGTTTAGCTGCATAATCAAAATGACGTGGAAATTCAATTTTACCCGAAAGTATTTTTTGATATATTTGAAATTGATCAGTATCATAAAATGGTGGAATACCTTATAATAAAACAGATATATTTTACATAGAATCTCTACATTGTTTTTTAAAGATAACTACCAGCAAGCATTTCAAATATAAGAATACCAAATGCCCACCAGTCAGATGCTTTATGATGACCACGATTTTGAATGACTTCTATTTTTTGATAAAATAATGGAAATAGATTAGATAATAGAGAAAAATTTATAGTTAACCTGGTGCAAGATAATCAACAGTACCACAGAGTGTATATGTTCGTTCTTTAGTTTCTTTAGCAAAACCAAAATCGACTAGACGAATATGACCTTCGCTATCTAATATAATATTTTCCTTTAGAAGAAAAAAGAGAAAATAAATAAATAATTAATAAATAAAAGATATTCGAGATAAAACATACCGGTTTTAAATCACGATAGAGTATATCTAAGCGATGTAAGTAATCAAGTGCAAGTAAAACTTCACTAGCATAAAATACAGCTGTTTTCGGATCAAATTTTTCACTTTTACGCAACATTTGAAAAAGTTCACCACCTGGTAAATATTCCAATAGAAGATAAAGTAGAGTATTGTTATGTGCTGTCCATTGGAGGCGTACAAGAAACGGATGATCAGTCATTGTTAAAACTTTTTTTTCATTTCGAACATGCTCAACTTGTTTTGATTCAACAATACGTTTTATACACATTACTTTAAGTGCGTAGTATGTATTTGTTTCCCGATGTAATACAAGTTGTACTCGTCCAAATGTACCTAAATTATATGATATAGAAATTATCTTTGAATCGAATTAATCTTACCGGTACCAACTGTTCGAATAACAGCCAATGAATCTATTGAAAATTGAATATCTTGTGTAGAAGATTTTCTTGATAATGATGATGATGATGATGTTACTGTATCATTTGTATTAACTGAAGAGCGAAGTCCATTTTGTGGTTCTTCAGTTTGTGTAGTATCTAATGTTGACTCTGATTGGTTGCGTAAAGTAGGTGTACTTGATATAGTTGAATTTGTATTTGATATTCTTGAACTTGGCCGAATAGGTGGAAGTTCATTGAGTGTTGTGGAAGCCATTCTATTTATTAATTCATTATTATTATCTAATGTATTTTGAATAGTTGGAAATGAATCAAGACGACCAGGTGATGTAATCGATGTTGTTAAAGTTTTCTTTGAAGACATTCGAGATGATTTTCGTCGTTTTATTGTTGTTGTTGTTAATGTAATTGGAGTTGTTTTTGTCAGACTTAATTTCTTGGGAGGAAGGGGTGTTATAGTAGATGCAACACGAGCTAATCGTCTAGTCAATAAGCGATCAGGTGATTTAGCTGACGCAATCGAACGAACTGAAGCCATGCCAAAGTTTTAAAAATAAATTGAACAACACTAAAAAACGATTTATAAATAGTAAGAATAAGAATAATAATACAAAAAAAGGAGAAGAAGAAAAAAAAGAAAATCGTTAACAATTAAAGAAGAAAAGACGGCAGCTTATGACACTTAAAAATTCTTTAAATTAACATATTCGAGAAGCAAAGTAAAATACTGTCATGCAATCAAAATTGGGTATGTCAAGTTTAAGTGGTTTATTTCTACCTGATTTTGTTAACCTTCTATTATGAAGGAAGAAAAATATATAAATGAATACTTTCATTCTGTATCTGAGTATTGTATATATATATATATTTGCGAAAAAAAAAAGAATTTTTTTTATTATTTTGATATATGTAAATGTACGTATTTGAAGCCTTTAAATATCAGGTTTGTTTTGATAGAATAATATTAAATAGGAAAGAATAAAAAAGAAAGAGAGAGAAAAAAAATCAAGAACTACTTATTTATTGATCATAAGATTGAAAAAAAATCTATTCTCTAATTTTTCTATTACTTATATTAAATATTAATATGCTATTTTGCCGTAGATAAATAATAAAAAGTACGTACTTTTTTCTCTTGAAAATTATTTAAACGTAACTTAAATCAATGCGATGATTATATAGATATGAATACACAAACAATGCTTTTAATGTCGTAACCAATTCTTCTCTTTTTTTTAATAAAGCACATCACTTGTTTAAAAATGTTCTTCTGTAAATACATTAACTCTTTTTTTTTCCTTCTTCTTTCCTTTTTTACTTTAATCATCATCATGTGCACACACACACACACACATACCCGCATTACTTGGATACATAAACGATGGAAACGATGACGACAATAAAGTTCTTTCTTTTTTTTACTAAGCTTCCGCTGAACGCATTTCTTTTTTTGTAACTATTAATGCGATAGGAGAGAAAAGGCGTGAAGAAAAACAGCAGATATTGTATAAAGGTAAAAAATGAGCATAATGTTCGAAATGAAATATTTTCTATTCTAAAATCTTGAGTAAATTTTTTTTTTGTTATTTCTATTGTTTTATCTTGAAAAGAAACTCGTAATATGTACTTATGAGCGAAAGAAAATAAGAGAAATAGAGAAAAAAGAAAATTATACCCTAAAGAAATTCCACAAACTATAAGTAACGAATACCAAATTGAAGAACAGAAAGAGTATTACTTTTCATCATCTACTCTGTGTTTGGTGTGCATGCAATGAACACGTGATAATTATGAAATAATCAATCTCATAAGCTGTATTGATTTGAGAAAATAATACAGTCATTTTCGTTTTTTTTTACAAAAAAATTGTATTAAGTTCAACGGATAAACCTTAACGAATGAATTTTTGCTTTTATCTTACATAACTATGTCAAAAAAGAAAAAACAAACAAAAATACCACTTAAATATGATACTCATAAATTTCATTGGCGAAATTGAGAAGATAAGAAATATGAAAAGAACAGCAAATTTTACTACGTATATAAAACAACAAATAGGTCAAAGTTGATCGAACTAACTATGTACATTTACAAAAAAAAAAAATTCTTAAAAATCAAAGCTCCCTTATCAGAATACTTTTTTTTATCAATGAAAGCAAAGATTAACTATTTTCATCGAATATATAATCTTATTCTAACAGTAAGGACGCATTTAAGGTTAAATTTATGTTGATTTTTCTCTATTATTTAATCAAAAAAACAAAGTACTTTACCATTAAAATAAATCAAAACAAAAACATTGAAAAAAAACTATATAATTTGTTTTTACACTCATTGTTCTACAACTACAGGAGGACAAAAATATTTGATTAATGAGAAAATTTCTTTTATTGACATTCAATATTAAATAATACGCCTATGAATTTCTTCTTTTTTTTTTATACATTACTTATATACTGAAACAGATGTTGAACTGCAAATGACGTCGATTATTATCATTAAATTGATATTGATACCAATAGAATAAGTATACTTCCTTCTTATTACTGATGCCTGGTTCGTTATATCTGAATAGAAATGACTATAGTGAATACATTGTATCTTTAAAAAACATCGAACGACAAAATCAGATCTCGTTATATGTAATAAAGAGCGAATGTATAGATGATGTGTTTTGTCAATAAACAATCTCAATCGGATATTGTATACCATAATAAATAATAGATGTCTATTTTTAGTATTACATTCTCTTGGGAAATTATATATCGGAACAGATCTGACATATCAATTATTTGAATAGAAAAACATATCTCATATATATATATAAAAGCATACTAATTCAATTACTCGTATTTTTATTGCTAAAAATAAATTTCCGTCTTTCATCTGTATATATATTATAAAATCGAACATGAAAATGTATCTATTGAACTGTTTGTTGAGCAGCCATATGATCAGCTATTGTATCAAATAATGATTCACGTTCAACCATTGATTCAGCTAGACTTTGTGTTTTTTCTCTTGTTTCATCGGTATGTGGTGTCATTTTCATTATACTAAACTGTCGAATATTAGAATCTCTTGCACGTATATGTGCAACACGTTGTTGTGCTTGTAAAAGACGATCACTAGCATCACGCATAGCTTGTACATCCAAATGTTTACGTTCAATATTTGATAGAGCACGACGAACATGTTTACGTTGTGTTAAATATTTATCAATTAATCTTGCTTGTTCTTCAGCATTTTGTTTTTTATTTTGAACTGATTCTCGTGCTATTCGTGATTTTTGTTGATTACGAATATTATTTTCATGATATTGTAAGGCATTTGATATAGACATATGTTGTGCATTAAATCCTTGAGAAAAAGCAACTTGTGCTCGACGTTTTTCTTGTCGTTCAGTAAGAAGAATACGTTGTTCTTGAACTGTATCATGTAATTCACTTTGTGCATGTTCAAGACGATGACGATGATATACTTGTTTCATACGATCATGATCTTTTATACGATGAATTATTGATAAACGTTCATCATTAACATGCTACAAGAGAATATATTCTCATTACTTCAGTGGCGGATCCAACATTTTGAAAACGTTATATCCCAATTTCAGAGCATGGGACCCAAATAGAAGGTTTTTACGAAAAAAATCTCGTTTTTAAAATCGTTCCCCCTCCTATTTTTTTCGTGTCTAGTGGTAATTTATTTTTAAGAGTTTGATCGTAATCTACATCGAATTTCACCTAAAAGTATGCATCCGTTTATGAGTTATGACATTTTGAAACTTTGTTCCGTTTTCTGGAGCATCTTTCAAAAATTGAAAACGTTATAATTCACGAACGGATGCATATTTTTAGGTAAAATTCGATATAGATTATGATCAAATTCTTAAAAATAAACTACCGCTAGACACAAAAAAATTGGAGGGGGGAGGCGATTCTAAAAACGATATTTTTTTCGTAAAAATCTTCTATTTAGGTCCCATGCTCTGAGATTGAGATATAACGTTTTTAAAAGTCCTAGATCCGCCTCTGCATTACTTGTAATTGTGCATTAATTAAACTATGATCTTGTTTTATTTGTTCAACATCATGTGCAAGATATTTTCGTCGTTCAACTTTTGCTCTATCATTATAAGCTTTATCAATAGCTACTAAACATCCAAGTGCCATACTTCCATGTATAGTTCTTAAAAGTCGATCATCGGCTGTTTGATATTTAATTGGTTGTCGATTTGCAGTATTATTTTCTTTAATTTCTTCTAAACGTTTACGTTGTTTTAAATGTGATTCATCTTTTATACTTTGTACATATTGTTTTGCTGCACGAATTTCATCATTTAATTCTTCGATAGGTTCATGAACAATAAGGTGAGATTTTTTACCACAAAGCATTGATGATGTTGCAATAGCATCATCCTCAGAAGATTTTATTGTATCTGTTTTACGTAATAATTGTTTTGAACTATTAATTCTATCAGGTTGAGTATTTATTAATTGATCCATTTGAATTTTAATATGACGTTTAGTTGTAGATGGTTCAGAAAGTTTTCCTGACTCAATTCGATAATATTCTTCTTGTATAACTGATGCTCGAGGTTGTTTAGGAAGTAATGCAAATTTTCCTGATGAATTAGTTAATGATGAAGTCATATTTCTTCGACTAAGAAATCCTGGAACAGTTCTAAAGACAAAAAATAATACAGCAAACTTTATTTGAAAAAATAGTTACTCTTGTTTTGATAATATATATTTTTTTAATTGAATTTGTACAAGCCACATACGAAAATTTTTTTGTAAAATTAATACTGGACAATAATGTGACTGAATTTTATTTATTTGTTTATAAAGTTGATCAGTCATTTCATATTCAATATCTACTGTTGAATTCTAAACAACAAAAAAACAAATTGTTTGAGAATAATACAAATAATTAATTATTTTTTTTTGTTCGATGTTCCTTACCTTACCAGTTGGAATATATAGATTTAATTTAAATGAATTTGATTGTGATGTATAAGGTTCAGGAAAACGTGTTTTTTCTATTATTTCATCATCCGCAACAACATGAGAATCTAGAGCTTTTAGTGTCCAAACACTATTGACGACATGATGTCGATAATTCTTTTTTAAACTTATTGGAGTATCATATAGAGTAAGAACTTCAAGATTTGGTGTATTCGAAAGTGATTTAATATCATCATAGGAGGATAGAAGGTTATCATGTAAATAAAGAATTTTTAATTGTAACATTTCTTTCCATAATTCTTCATTAGGTAATTTATTAATCTTAAAAAAAAGGAAATAATATATGCATGAAAAACTTTAAATTCATGTTTTTTTACTCGATTTGAATGTAAATCAAGTTTAATTAATTGTCGACAATTCATAAGAAGATCATCAATTTTTTCAATAAAATTTGAACTTAAATCACATATTTGTATATATTGAAATTGTACAATATCACTAATAGAGTTTAATTTTAATTTCGATAATGATAATATAAATATATCCGATGCTAATGATAAACGTAAATGATTTTGATATGATTCAAGAAAACTAAGTGTAGGTTCTTGTAAAAATTGTTCATCCATTTTTGTTTTGTTACCAATGAAATAATCGAATTGGATTATGTTAATTATTCACTTTACAGATTTCAGTTATTTGTCCTTCTTTTCTTCCAAAGATCGAACTGAAGAGAAAAACAGAACGGGAAGAAGAAAAATTTAAAAAAAAAAAGAATTCTATTGCTGCCATTTGTATTGTTCCTTTGATTTGAGTTGCACTGCAACTAGAAAACGTGAACTAATACATGAATGAAAGATGCCGCAGATCATCAAGAAATTTTAATGATATTAATTATTTAAATTTTCCATTAAGCATATTAATATATTTATATAACTTCATCGTCAAATATGCATTATAAAAATTTAATTTTTTTCTCTTAATTGCTTCAATGAACAAGACAATATATGAGAGTACATTGTTCTCATTATTTCTTTGAGATTAATATTCAAGGTAAGAACAAAGGTATAACCTTAGTGAAAAATATTTTCGATATTAAACGATATCGAGACATAACAAAAATCGTATGATCAATAATTGATGTATATTCAGTTAATTCTTATAAATTAATATCATAATCCATTGTTAAATGAAAATATCTCGATTTTTTTTCTACCTACGTCTTGCGGTTTTCTTTACTTCTAATACCCAAAAAAATACTTTTTAATTTGAACTTGTATTAAGCACAAACCAAAGATGATAACCTTCAATCGGATCATTTACAATTGTATACATCCATCTAAAATGTCAGTCAATAAGTAGACGTCAAGGATATTGTTTTTACATCTATTTCAATGCACGAATATTTATTTATGGATTAAAGATTTACTTAAGCGTACGAGTAGAGTAAAACTCCGTGCATTTTCGTATCAATAAGTATCATCTTCATTTTACATTCGAACTCAACACATCGAGAAAAAAAAAGTTTCTTATATAGACATCATCATGATTACCATTGGTTGTGTTAGTCTTTTATTACTTTCATTTGTCAATAATGTTGGTATGTTTCAATATTAATTATAAAAAAAAGATTTTTTCTAAATAATTAATTATATCATTTTCGTTTCTAGCTAGCAATTGCTTAGTTACCGGTTATTGTGGTACTAATCAATGCTGTTCAGCATTTGGTAGCTGTGGTGCAGGTGCTTCATATTGTGGTGGAGGAGCTGTTGCATATCCAGGATGGTCAGGTACACCATATGTTAGTGGTGATTGTCGTATCGTAGGCTGTGGAGCTGGTTATTGTTGTTCACCATACGGCTAGTAAGCATTTAATATGATATTAGATAGTTTTTTTCTCAATTCAATAAATTAGTTGTGGCGCATCAACTGACTATTGTGGTACTGTTGTTGTTGTTGCACCTGCGCCTGCTCCAGCTGCTGCTGTAGGTCAATGTCGTTTAACTGGTTGTCCAGCTGGTTCATGCTGTTCACAATATGGATAGTTAGTTTTACATTCTTTTTTTTTTCTATATTAAATTTGAATATTTTATATAGTTGCGGAAATACAGCCGCTCATTGCGGTGTTGCTACCTATGGTAATTGTGGTGCTACTGCTTGTGGTTCTGGTCTTTGTTGTACACGATATGGATAGTATGTAGATTTACTTTCATAAACTAATATATATATATATTTATTGAATTATTTTAGTTGTGGTTCAGTTAATGTCTATTGTGCATTTCAACGATCAGGAGCAAGTAATGCTCAACCAGCTCCACTTGAAGGTGAATTCAGAGGAGACGCAACATATTATAATGAAACTAAAGTTAGTTCACAATATTCAACATGTGGTACTGAACGTGGTCGTTCATTAAATGAAGATAAAGAAATAGTTTATGGTGCTGCTCTCAATCAAATACAATTCGATCCATACACTGTCAATGGTATTCCAAGTAATAATCCAATTTGTCACAAGAAAGCTTTAGTAAAAGGACCAAAAGGTGAAATAACAGTTCGATTTATTGATCGATGCCCAGATTGTAAAGAAGGTACATATTGAATAGATCAAATCTTTTAATTTTTCTTCTTTCATCATAGGTGATATTGCTTTAACACAAGATGCATTTATTGCTCTTGCCGGAGAACTTGGCACTGGTCATACAAACGTCGAATGGCATTTTATTTAAAAAAAAATAAAAGTCATTCAATATGAACAGTCGATCAAAGAAAAAAAAAAGAAAACAATAATTTTTTTGTCCTTTTCCTTTTATCTTAGTATATAGATACTTTTATTGATGCTAGTTTTTTTTTACTATATAAATAAAAAAATTCTTACCATCGCACACACATAATGCTAATCATTTTTAATTAAATTTTGATGAAGTAAAAAGTGAATTAAACAACACGAGGAGAAAATTATCTGTTATTGAAATATTGATAAGATGGAAATATGTATTAGTTTTTCTGAGCTTACATCCTCAATCTATTCATCTTTACTAACCTATATAAAGAGCAAAAAAAAAAAAAAAAAGAAAGCAAATTCAAAAATATGCTATATGGAATTTTACTTGAAAGTTGTCGTGATGGTGTTTGTGAAGCATATGGAGTAGCAACATGGAAAAGAATTGTAGAAGAATTAAATTTTGAACATGATTCATTTACAACACTTGGTCGTTATGAAGAAAATATTATTGAAAGAGTTGCTGAATGTAATTCGAAATTAATTTTATTATCGGAAAATAATATTTTGTTTTTAGGTCTTTGTGAAATTACACATGAAGGTAGTTTAGATACATATATGTACTTTTTTGGTGAATGTTTCGTAAGATTTTTTACAAACTATGGTTATGATAAAATCCTACGTGTCGCCGGTCGTCATTTTCGTGATTTTCTTTTATCTATTGATCAACTTCATGATTCAAATAGATTTAGTTTTCCAAAAATGAAATCACCATTATTTCACGTTACTGAAGAAGATGAATTTGGAGCAGTTTTACATTATAAGTTAATAGAAAATAAAAATTTTTTTGTTTTTGTTAAAATAAATTACATTTATTTAGATCAAAACGTCGAGGTTTTCAACGTTATGTTATGGGACAATTAAAAGAATGTGGAACAAGATTTTTTCAAGAAGACATATCTTGTCGTATACAAGATGATGTCTCATCAAATGAATGTAAGAAATTTCGATTATTTTTTAAAATAATATGATTAATTCTTATTCTACACAGATACTCATATTGTTTTTCGTGTTGATTTCAATAATTATAAATTAAAAAATTTGGGAAAACGTTTTATTCAAAATCCGTCATTACCAGATGTTACTAGTGCAACATTTTTCAAAGTAAAATTTAGTTTATGATAACAAAAATACTCCTCCAGTCTTTAAAGGGTTAAATATCAAATACAAAAATCTGTATTGGATTAGTATTAGTTGATATTTATCAAAGAAATCCTAGTCTACAATAATAAATTTACGTTGTTTATTTATAGGTATTTCCGTTTGCTATTTTAATTGATCCACAAATGCGTATGTTTCATGTGGGAAAATCAGTTCAAAAAGTTTTTCCAACGAATGTACCTTTAATTGGCCGTCATATTGAAGATGTATTTCGTTTAGTTCGACCAGATATATTACTTGAATGGAATCGAGTTTGTTTAGTTTGAATATAGAAAAAAAAACACTAATTAACAAAATTTGTTTTTTTTTAGCTTCTTTCTTATGGTCGACATATAGTCTTTGTTATTGAAAGTCGTATTCCACTTCAACCAAATGCATCTGTAATTGCAAAAAAACTTGCTACAGCAACAACTCATGCTCATCTTCGTCTTAAAGGGCAAATGAAAGTAATTCCAGCATGGAATATGATTGCTTTTCTTTGTCATCCGGAGTAAATTTTAATACTAAATTAAAATGCTTATTTTTTTACTTTGAAATTTAGATTAACAACAGCAGAAGAAATGCTTTCTATTGGCTTATTTCTTCACGATATCAATTTTTATGATGGTAGTAGTGAAATTCTTATTGCTGGTATGCAACATGCTCGAACATTACAGGCAGCCATTGATAAACAACAAGCATGGATAACAAAATTACAAGGTTCAAAACATGAATTAGTAGAATGGCGTCGAAAAGGAAAACGTCTTTTATACAATATAATGCCAAGACATATTGCACAAATGTTACAAGAAGGTGTTTTACCTAATTCAATATGTGAAGTAAGAAAAATGAATTATTTTATTTAAAAAAAATGAATTCTATTTTAGTCTCATAAATTGCTTACCGTTCTTTTTGCATATTCAATTGATTTTAAAGATGTTGTAGAAAAATTAGCACCACATCAGATTGTTGATTCAATCAATGCAATTGTTAATGCATTTGATCAATGTTCCGAACATTTTGATGTATTTAAAGTTGAAACAAAAGCAGATTCATCTTATATGGTTGTAGCTGGTATACAAGATCGTAGTACAAGAGATCAACGACGTTCATCAACAGCTGTACGATAAGAAAATAATTTTTCAAATGTAATGAATACTTTTATTTATATTTATAGAGTGGATCATCAGTACAGAGTCTAGCATATTCTGATGAACTTCAAGGTGACTTGAAAAATCCATTAGGACTTAATCAAGCAGAAATTGTTGCTGGTCTTGCACTTGAAATGGTTAAAAGTTCAACGACTGTTATTAATCCAATAACAGAAGAACCATTTCGAATTAAATTTGGTAAATAAATATTTTCATTCTTTTAATTATATCGAATTCTCTTATTAGGTTTTCATTCGGGTCCCGCTGTTGGTGGAATTGTTGGTGCCAAAAATGTTCAATATTGTCTCTTTGGTGACACAGTCAATACAGTATGAAAAATAATTAGAGTTTTAAATTATTTCCTGTAGTTTCATGATATTGACAGATATTTCTTCTTGAATAGGTTTTCAATTTATTTTTAATATTTTAGGCAAGTCGAATAACAACAACAGGCGAAGTATATACTAATATTTATATTGTTTAATTATATAAAAACTTTATTTCTCTAGCCAGGACGAATTCACATGAGTGATACAGCATTTTTACTTATTAGAGATTCTCCTTATTTCGAAATTCATAATAAAGGCAAAACAGAATTAAAAGTAAACGATTGATATTATTATTTATTTATTAAAATAAAATGAAAATAATAACTTTAGGGTAGAGGTACAATTGAAACACATTGGTTAGTTGGTCCTAAATCAACATATACAGCAGCTATTGAATTAGATCAATTTCTACTTAATGAAGAACGTCATTCATCAGCTGCTCATAGTCATCGTCATCATCATCATTCTTCTCATAGTAAACGTCATGGTGATGCAACACCAGAAAAACGATTATCAAATACTATAAATCATGGACCATCAGCTACGGGTGGTCAGTGTCCATTTAGTAGAATGTGAACATCTACATAACTTATCAAATTTTATTTATCTTTTATGTTGTCTAATGTGTTTCACGCGAAAATAAATTTATCCTTGAATGCAATTATTGGAAATTTTTGATATCGCATCCTGAAAGAGAAAAAAAAAGATTATAAAAAAATCTATTAGCATATATACTTCAAGATTAGTTAGTTTTTTGAAAACATTTGATAAAGATATTGATTGATTACAATTAATGGATGGTTCTGAAACACTTATAGTTGTCGATAAAGGAAGTTTTTCTATAATCTGACAATTATCATTGAATGGTAATGACGAAGTACATGGATTCGGAGGAGTAATCATAATTGTAACAACACGATCGATTATTTCATTTGCACATAATGATGGCTGAAAAGATTAATAATAAAAGAAAAAATAACTCAACTTAATATTCTATTACTTCTTGACATAGAATTTCACTAACAAGTATTTGTGCACATTCAACAACATCAGAATATTCACCGGGATTGATTAAAGATTGTAATTTATGAAGTATTTTTTTTACAATATATTCTGTAATCTAAACGGATGAGTTATAGATAAATTTATTTGAATAATTCATACTAATCCATCTTCACCACATGGTGAAAAAGTATTTTGATTATTATCATCATCATCATTATATTTGGGTACAAATTTTTTTCGATGTGTTATACGTACAGTTTGATTTGTATTTGATGGGAAAATGATTTGATTATTATTAGAAGAAGAAGGATTTGTTTTTAATGATGATACTACATTTTGACAAGAAATCCAATCTTGAAAACGATTATGACGTCGATGTATTTTAGCTTTTAAATTATCAGGTATACAATATTCAGGTATTTTTCGATAATAAAATGCTCCATAATCTTGATTTGTCGTTCGCCATAATTCAGAAGAATCTGTTGCTATTGCAAAACGTGTTAATAATGTTGATTGTATTGGACGATAATCATCAATATTCGAACAATAATTAATTGGTTCACATTGATTTATATCTATATCCATAGTATATAATTATAAACATTTACATTCTATATTGGAGAGAGAGAAAGAAAAAAAAGAAACTGAAAAAGATTAGAATTTAATAACGCGCTTTTTATTATATTGATTACGTAGTTAAAGGTGAGGGTAAAGATTGGAGACAGATAAAAACGATCGATCACCCTCTATGATACACATCAGAATAACCTCGTTGACTTTCACATCTACTAATAATCTTAGATTATTTATTCAATAAACATGATATATACTATTTCTTATTTTAAGAATAGTTCATTATTAGATATTAGTGTTCATTAAATAAAATTTACAATGATGTGTCATAAAATATGACATTCACATTTTATGTCCACTTAAGAAAATAATATATGTATGTTTTTTTCGAAACGGAAGTAATAACTTTGATGAATTACAAACATAAATATATAAATTTATTTCTTTATATTGTATATATTTATTATTTGACTTGTTAAATTATTCATTTAGATAAAAATATAATTTATATACTTAAGTTTTTTATTACTGTGTAATGAGGTCATTTATGTTGTTGATGTTTATATCTGAGGGTGATAATAACAACAACACTGATGTCCTCGTACCATCATGTAAGCCAATCAATTAATATATGTTTGTCATTGAAAACCTGTTTTTCTTTCATACTATCGTGTATAGATAAAAATTATTAAGTAAAAAAAATTATATCATAAACTTATTTTGAACATTTTTTCTTCCATGGGATATACAAGGCAAAAGCGATTATCGAACCTTGATATTCTTTTCTCATTATCTATACGATTATTAAGGATTCACACGTGATCATCGCGTACCTATATATATATTTATATATCTTATACCTCTTTTGTTTAGCACGCATGATCGCTCACCTTCAGTAATATTTCTTGTTCTTCTTTTCATTCCTCCTTCTTCTTCTTCTTCTTCTCTTAAACAAGACTGTGTCTTACATTTACATATTTTGATGTTTATACTTCAACCTCCCGTATATCTTGATGATAATAACTTTTATCATAAGAAGAAGAAGTTTTTTAGAAGATTTGATAAACGTGCTCATAATCATGGACCAACCTATGATCTTCGTTTGATTATACTTCGACATGCAGAGCGTGTTGATCTAGTCTTAGGTGAAAGTTGGTATGATTATGTTTTTGGTGGTGTTCCATCAGCTCCACCACAAAGTTATCTACATCCATTATTACCACAAGCATTACCCCAACGTTTAAATACTTTACTCTATGTATTTGATCCACCGATAACACGATTGGGTGAAAGCAAATCATATTCTAGAGGACAGGAACTATCTAGACTTGGTGTTAGTAGTATTGATCATTGTTATTCATCACCTGCTTGTCGTAGTGTTCTAACAGCAAGTGCTGTCTTAGATGGTATAAGTCGAAATCCTGTACCAATTCGTCTTGAACCATATTTATTTGAACCGTTGAGTTGGAATCAACCATTACAAATGCTTGACACTGTATCACCGTTTATGTCAACTCGTGAATGGATGATGGCAGGCTACAACATCGATCGAAATTATCAACGTCTCAATAATTATTTAAATCCAATGGAAACTGAAGTTGATTTTTATATGAGAAGTCAATATGTTTTTCAATCAATTGAACGTCGTCATGGTGGTGTTGCACCACCAATTGGCCGTGCAAGTAAACGAGCTCGACATTCAACTGTACTCATCGTTGGTCATGCTGCAACGCCACTAATCTTTCAACATATTGCTCTACAACAACCATTCAATTCTGAAGTTTTCGGACAACAATGTGGTACTATACCATTTTTACATACAGTTGTTCTTGAACGTAATGCGATAAATCGCATGTGGTACATGCGACCTATAATGTCTTTTGTTTAAAAGAAAATTTGTAGACATTCATATAAGAAAAACGGAATATATTATAAACTATATCTATTGTATCTGACCATGAAATAGTAATAGAGACAACCTTCGCTCTTATGCAAACTTGTCTGCTTTATCGAAATCAGAAAGAAAAGAAGCCATGCTTGACGTATATGCAAGTGTTTTGATGTGTATATAGAAATAAACGCAATAGAGAGCAAGACTATTCAAGGAATAAGCTTTAGAGGAGTGTCTGATCTACTAGAGAAGAAAAAAAAAAGAGAGACTATTTAATAGCATAATCAATAATGACAATGACAAGTAATGATATCGATTTACTACATATAGACGAAGATTTGGAATTGGATTCTACATCAAGTAATTCACATGTTCGTATACATTCCCCATTACCTTTACTCAAAATACCAGTTAAATCTACTGAGTCTCTTAATTTTACTGTTCGATCACGTCATAAATCAAAAACATTATCTAAAAAAAGAACGTTAACTCGTTACATTTTTCCAAGGATACCTTCTCGTACTGAATCATTAATTCAGCCATTAGATTATTATGAACCTGACAATTACTATCATCATCATTATTATCATCATCATCATCATCATCATCAACAACCACAGCAACAGTTACAACAACAAGGACAACAATCTAATGAAGGCTGTGATATGCGGTTTTTTATTATTCGACATGGTGAACGAGTCGATAGATATTTCGGGTCAAATTGGTTTATGTTAGCCTTTGATAATAATGGTCAATATCGTCCATATCATGTAAACTACCCACCTGATTTACCACCACGTCCAAATAAATATTTTTGGGCACTTGATACACCATTAACACGTGATGGTTTAAATGCTGCACAAAATGTTGGTCGAGTATTAGGCCTTAATCAATTCGAACCAACATATGTTTATTCATCACCAGCTATGCGTTGTATATTTACAACATTTCAAATCTTAAAAGGTCTTGGATTAGAAAATAAATTATCCATACGTATTGAACCAGGCCTATTAGAATTAGGTGCTGCAAGATTTGGTATGAGTTTCTTTCTAACACCAATTGAATGGTATAATTATGGAATAAATGTTGATTTAACTTATCAACCTATAATGCAAAATATTGATCCATTAGAACGTGAAAGTGCATATTATCTTCGTTCAAAATATATTATTCGTCAAATAGAACAGATTCATAATAATAATTCTTCGCCTTCATCACTTAATATTTTACTTGTTGGTCATGCAACATCACCGGAAACTTTAACATGGGATTTAGTTGGACGTCAACCCAATGTTTATGATTTATTTACATTATCATTAAATATTGGTTATCTTCAAATGGTTATAACTGAACGAGAGAAACAAACAAAAGCTTGGTCATTAACACAAATGCCATTACAATCAACAACACTTAAATGGGTTTAAACTTCTTCTTCTTCTTCTTTTTTCTTTTTTTTTCGAAAAAAATTTTCATTAAATAAAACAAAAATGTGCTACATTTTTTTGAATTATTACACACATTCTTACAAACGTGAAAATTTCTTAAGTTTTTATATAAACAAAAAAACACACACACACACACACACTCATATATTAAAAAACAGAAAGCTATTGTTAAGTCGAAATTTTTTGTAATAAGAAGTTTTTAATTTTTAATTATTAGTAATTTTATTGCCAAATACCATCTGCTGCTGCTTCTGTAGTATTCCAATAGGATTGTTGATGAGTAGGGAATGCTTCTTTAGTTGCACTAGGTGTACTAACATTATATTGTTGAAAATATGTAAACATCCTATCAGTATTTGATGCTTGTTCAAATTGTTGATGATAATATGGATATGCTGCTGGTGGTGGAGCAGCATAGGGTGCAAATGTACGTATACCACGATGATCCGATTTCGCTTTTTTAAATGTTGATGATGGATAATCATTGATATTGTATGATTTTGTTTTTGGTTCAGCTAATCCAACTGTTACAGTACAACCTAAAATAACAAAAACGTAATATTTTCAATATAGTATAACTTATTTACCTTTTATAACATGTTTGCCTAATAATGATCGTACAATACTTGAATCAGTAAATGTCACAAAACCAAATGAACGTGCTGGTTTTGGTATATAAATATCGGTAAGAGTTCCATATTTGGAAAAGTATTGTCGTAAGTCATCAGTTGTAATGGCATCGGGCATATGAGTAATAAAAATTTTCCTTGTATATTCCGGTTCATGACTTGCCTAAAATAAACGAAAAAAATCATGCATAATAAGTTAAAACGTTCTGAATATTAGATGAAGGTAATGTTTTATATTATTAGAAGCGTTATATTATTTTCCCTTGACTACAAGGAATTGCTCATAAGCATAGTATTGTCAGTTATCTTGAGAAAGAAAAAAAAGATAATTATAAAATAGATTTTTTTGTGTAATAGAACGATTAGTTTTGACTAGTATATTTAAATTTCATTTTTATAGCGTTACATGATTGATTTTTACTTACTTTAGATTCTGGAATTTTAACATCAACATGTCGTCCATCAATGAAATGACGTTTATTGATAACAGCTAATTGAGATTCATAATTTTTATAACGAATAAAACCAAAACCACGTGATTGTCCATTTGAATCTCGTTTAATCTAAATAGAATAGACTTTATTAATAAATTCTTTTCTTTTTTCGCTTTTATTACTTCACACAAGACCAATTCACCAAATTCTTCGAAACATTTTTTAACATCATCTTCAAGACTTCGATAACTTATTCCAAGTACAATTAAATCAACACAACGACGATTTCGATCAATATCATCATAATCAACATTATTATTTATCATAAAATCGGTCGCAACTCTTTGCGGTTTGATTTGTCCAAGAGATGTTGACATAGTTTCATCTTGGTTCTCATCAAATCCTTTTCGTTTAATTTCCGATGGCATAGCTATTAAAAACAAAACAACCAATTTTTATTCGATATTAAAAACAAAAAATATAAATTCACGTTTTGAATATACAGGAACATAAATAGCATTTGGATCCCATTCACCATCTGGATGATAAAGTTTGCCATCTACTACACGAACGCTGAGAAAAGAAAAAAAAACAAGACAAATAAATAAAAGTATGATTTTATATTGAAGCTAAACGAGCGCAAAATGAGGAGGAATATAACCACCACACATTTCACTAAATATACATCGAATTTAGAACAACAAACACATTCACTCACCCTCTCCACACACCCGACTCAGAATTGCGATATTTTAATGCACTCACACCTTGAAATTGAGCAGTAAGCGTACTCAATGAAACTGATCCATCAGCATCCCCATCAACTGGAATTTCAATAGTTTCTTCATTTTGTTTACCTTCATCAGCTACTCTTATAAACATGATTATATTTTAGCAAAAAATTGTAATATATTTTATTATGTAACCGTTAGCTAATAGATATCGATCTACCGTCTCAAGTATTACAACACAATAAACCAACAAGCGTAGTAGCTGGTCGAGATGGTTACAGATAGGAAAATAAAGGAAAGGAAGAAAAAAAGAAAAAAAAATGAATAAAATCTTTTTTTTTATTTCTAAAAAGATTGATCAATACTGAACTCAGTCGAAAGAGGTCTCTAATAGTCGTAACACGAAATAGTTTATCATCGTTTTAGTTTCATTTTTTTTATCAAATGAATTACATGTACACAAGGTCATATACTTTTCTCTAAAAGCCTAGGTATCGCGGATAAAGTTTAAATATTCTCTTCTCACGAAAAATAATAAATATGGTAAAGAAAAGAAAACTTTATTCAAATAATAACTTTTTATTACAACTACTTGTATTACGCAACAATTTACTACGATTTTGATTTTTCTATGTGATGTATTACATATAAGAAAATGTTTATAATTTAATCTTGATTAAAGAAAATAACCTAATAAAAGTTATTGAGATTCAACCGGTAGTTGTCATGATACTTTGTTCCATACAAAACAGTAAATATTTATAAATCAAAAGGATTATTGTTCGTTATATTTAATACCTAAAACTATTCTACTTTTCCTAGAATATGAATGTTCTCCTTGGTGATATATCTCTAAAAATCGTTTTACAGTAACATGAGAAAGATAGGAAAGATTTTTGTCAATAGAATGCATAGTTCATTAAACGAAAGAAATGACTATTGTTAATCAAATATAGTTTTCAGATGTCTATATTACGATGATAGACTCAATAATGGTGCAATCGATGAGTGCTTTGTTAATATTAAATTATAACAGCTTGTGATATTTTTTCGCTAACTTGAACATACTTAGAATGTAATGGTTTTACTATTACCAATTGATAAGTAATCATTAAGGAATAATCTGTACATGAAATGGTATACGCTGTTTAGTTGGTAGCAAAATATCAAATATTCGGTAGAGTAGTATGGATTAAAGAATAATTTCAATAAATTTTGCTCTTCTTAGTTCGCATATTACGAAGTATTAAAAATACTCCGAAATAGTTGAAAAATGATTCATTCATTATTAATACAAGACTATTTATACATAACTATAATCATATCTTATTAACCTAGGCATATAATATACAATCAGTAGCAACAATAATAATGAATCACTTTATCGTTATTATATATATTTTTTAACATCTTCTAAAATGATCGTTTTGCAAAGAATAAATCCATTTATTGGAAATATATCATCTCAAACAAGTTTATAATAGTAATGTTGTATAAATACTAAAACCTGCTGATCATAAGATATTCTTTTCAATCTCAAGATTATTTAACTAATTGAAATAGTACCAGATTTAAATTATTTGACTCGGTTCATGACAAAGTCAAATCTTTTAGAATATATCAATCGATAACATAAGATTTAACAATGCAAAACAAAACGATATTATTTATTTTAAGACGAAATAACATCTTCAACAGCATCAGTATCCATCTGATAAAGCTTGTTTTGATCACTTGGTACATCGATAGGTCGTGGTGCTCGATATTGTCCTTTTCCAGCTGCTCGTTCAGCTTCTTCCAATGTATATGCTTCAGTTTTTAAATCTTTTACTCTTCGTTTATGAAATTTCCCTTTGATATGATGTTGTAAATTATGCTCATCAATAAAATATTTTCTTTAAATAAACAAATAAAATATTTTGTAAAATAAAAAAATAGATCATTATCTCTTACGAGCAATACAAACAATAATGTTGTCCTGCACCAGGTACATCATAATCAATCGGTTGATTTAATAATTGACGAGCTGTTTCCGCAGCCATCGTTTTTTGTACTTCATCAAGATCTTTTGTTTTTCGTTTGGTTTTTAATACTTTACCTTGTTTATCAACACCACTATGACTTTTATTTTTCGAACGAGTTTTTTTCGGCATTACGAAATTTTAGTAAATATAGTAGAATAATAAGTAAGTAAATTTTTCGCAATTCGAATCTTTAATTGTTCGCTATTCATATAAACCAATCAAACAGTAATCGATTATCACCGACCTCTATTAAAAATGTAATTCCTTCAGGAAAAAAAAATTTAATTTTACAAATAGTTTATTCATTCTAAATAAGCATTAAATTCTAAATTAAGAAAAATTCTCAAGATGTCGTTAAATATCAATGTTAAAATAGATGTCATTTATATGTTTGTTTCATTCCTTCTCTCCAGCTGTTTTGTTTATTTTTTTCTCATATCATTAGTTGATTTGATCGATTCATTTGCCAATTAATCTTTTCAATTTTATTCTTGTGGTTAGAGAAGAAGAGAAAAATAGTTTTTTTTTTTTCGTTTTCTTTTTCTTCATCAACGAAGAAAAGAAAATTGACAACCACTAACACATGGCTTCAACATTATCATCTCCATCATTATGTCAACAATCACAATGTGATGCATATCAATTTACTATATGTCGTCATTGTCAATTATTTCTTTGTATAAGACATTTAGCTGAACATCAACAACAATTTCCAAGTGATTTTCAACGTTTATTAGATGATGCACGAAGACAACAAGCACAATTAGCATCATTTGATAAACGTTTAACTGAACAACGTTTAAAATTAAATCAAGTTCTCGATAATGAAATGGAACATTTTAGACAGTTAAATGCTTACGTACAATCAAAAACATCAGTAGTAAATAATATTGGACCAGATGATTTTGTAAATATGCGTTCATGTCTTGCACGATTACAACAAACAGCTGCTTTTTTACCTGTTATTGATAAAATTGGACAATTAATTGGTGAACATGAATCAGCGACAGGTTTAATATTTGCAAAATTCTATCAAATTAAATTTATATAGATATTTAATTTTAGCGACAAATACTAGTAATGCTCCATTTAATGATGAAAGTTTATATGGTACATTTGGAGGTTTGTAAATAACAATAACAAAAAAAGAAAACATTGATTTTATTTATTTTAGATTCAAGATTATTCGTATTATCGAATCTTAAACAAGAACAACGTAAGAGAAATTTTATATTGAATTTAAGGAGAAAAAAACGAATTGATAGTTAATTATTTTGATAATAAGAATAAAGTATTTTGAATGAATATGAATTATAATTCGTATTGTATTTAGACAATTCTTCATATGTACATCAAGATCTTTCGACGTTATCTACGAGTAATTTATATAAATGATAAGAAAGAATTAATGATTTTTTTTTCTAAATTTTAGTTGGAAAAATAACAGAAACTGACGATGAACTTCAAGAAACGTAAATAACTCTCTATATTAAAATATTTATAATAATTTTTTTTGTGCTTCGAAATTTTAGTGAAGTCAATCAACCTCACAATTCTTTGACGGTATTTCAATTTCTTTTTTTCTATGATTTTTAATAATATATTTTCTAAATTCAGGTTCGAGAATTAAAAACTTATAAATGTGATTATTGTCCGTTAACAACAAATACGTATGGTATTGAACGACGTCATCTAGTTCGTCATATTCCATGTATTCGTCGATCAAATTCTCAAATATCTTTATTTGAACATCTTAAACAATATCATTATTTAAATTATGCCGCATCAATGCAAATCGTTCGTCTTGTATCATCAGGTGATCTTGAAGATCATCCAACATTATTTTCTTCGGCAAGTGAATCATCAATTGTTTCTATACTTCCATCATTTTTTCGTGCACCATGTCCATTAACACAACATAATGTTTATGGTCTTGGACCAATGCATGGTATACGTTTATGTTCACCATCAACCGAACAACAAGATTTTGCTTTATATGATCATTTTCTTGCATTTCATCAATTAAATCGTGCAAGTGCAATGAAATTAGTTAAAGCTATGATGAAAAATGAAAATAGTAGTCAAAGAATATTATTTCGACCTGATGAACAAGTTTTAAATGAAACAGCTTATGTATCATGTCCATTAAGTAATTATAATGCTGTTTTACCACATCAAGAACGTATACCACATACACCATGTCAATCAACAGTTAAATTACGTTATTTAACTGGACATTTACGTGATGTACATCATTTAAATAAAACAGCTGCAAAACGTATTGCATCAGCATTACGTAATGAACAAGGAACGATTGATGGAAGATCTATTGGATTATTTGAAAGAGATGAAAATATTCTTAAAGCAAAAAAGAAAAAGGTACGAATAAAATTATTTTAAACATTAAATATCATTAGTAATCGATACTGAATTAATTTATAATCTATTTTCTTCAAAGCATTATGATAATATTATTATTTAACTAAAGTATCATACTATAACCAGGGTTCCCGATTGTTTTCAAAAGTACAGGAGGATAAAATTTGCCAGAAAGTGCCGTCATATAGCTTTCTGACGCATATAACGTAGAAAATATTTGAGCTGTACACTTTCTGCGGAATTTTGCCCGAAAAAAAGTGTTTTTAATGGAGTTTCTAGCGGAAAAATAGCATAAAAACCAGGTTTCCAGCAAAACTTTAAAAACTTTGGAAGAAAGACAGACAGCTTTTCGAATTTTGCGGGGGTCTAGACCCCCCCCTCCCCCTTTAATCGGAGTGCCTGACTATAACTGTAGAAAGACGCCTGTCGTTAATAATGAAATGGATTAAGAGAAAATTAGTTATATTCGAAACATATTTGAGTTTCAGATCACTTTTATGACTAATTATATTTTGTTAAACAGACTTTGAATTGTTCGATTATTTGATAAATTCTATCAGGTTATCTAAATACATAGTCGAAATTCTTTCTATAATATTATTACTTTGTGTTAATGCTTTATCAAAAGAGAATGCTGTGCTATAACTGAATTGCGATGACGTAGTTTTGTCCTTAATCACAGTAAATCTAAACAAAATTTATATGAATCATAGAAACTAATGATATTCTTTTATGAAACCTAAATTTAATAAAAACTGTTGTATATAATGGACATTTGTTATTCGAGTTCAAAATTTATGAATTATTTTGTTTTTCTATAGACCAATGCAAATCGTTTTCGACCGCCTGCACAATTAGCCAAACATGTTCAACAGAATACTAATCATCAACAACAACAACAACAACAACAGCAGCAGCAGCAGCAGCAACAACAACCTCCACCATCGTTATGGTGATTAATTTTAAATATGCGTTCATCTTTTTCCTTATCTATTTCGAATGTATTTGACGTTCTGATTGTTTTTTTTCTTTTTTTTTGTGACTCGATATATCAGTAAAGTTGCCGCCTTCTGTCGTTTTTTGTACATAAATTTTGGTTGTTTATGATTATTAAGGCTATCTTTTGCCTTAAATTTATGCTTCATCACCTGTTTTCTTTTTGCTTCCCGTTCATTGTCACATTTGTTTTTTCGTGTACGTGCATGTGTGCGTGTGTATGTATTATTATCATTGTTGAATGTAGATTAACAAGGACAATGGAAATAATATGAATTTCTTTCAAATTTGAAAGAATTATATTCGTCATTGACTAGATTTTGTTATTCAACATAATTTAATCGAAGATGTTTTATTTAAATCAATCAAATAGTGATTCGTTAATTATCGAAAAATTCATTTGCTAGGAAAGTTTTATTACCCTAAAAACAAAGCGAAATGTCTATTGGTTCCTATTAATAAACGTAGACAGTAAATTATTTTAAGATCACTAAAAAATCTTGTACTTAAGAATGGTGTAGTCATGAATTTTATCAAAAACTTCTGACAAAACTCAATTGGAGAGGTTAGTGATATAATTATCAGCTGAAATTTTAAAAAATGTAGATACTAAATCTTTCTCAATCCAGTACTTATCAATGTCGATTGGTAAAATTGAATAAGTCCAATACTTCATAGACGTTGATATCACTATGAGAGAATATATGATGTAGCTCAAAATATTCATATTTTTTATTCATGAATAAAGAACTAAGCCTTTCGCAACCAAAAGGTTTTATACAATCAATGCGATTCATTTTAAAGTAAAATTTGATTCTTCAGTTATTATTTAATTCAATCAAAATGATCTCTCAATAGAACTTCTCTTTGCAACGAATGAACAAAGAGTTATTTAGATTATTTATAAGATTATAAGACCTTTTTTCGTCACTTTTTGCATCCAAGCCTATTAAAAACTCTCACATGTATCACAGAATAAGTCAGAGTATGAACCGTCATAAACTCCAATAAACAAAATCTAGAAGGTTTTGATTACTTCGAATTTTTTAAATAATAACCAATATTGTTTATTAAGTCTTGGCTGTCGTAAAAACTCAGAACAAATGGACAATTCTCGACCGTTTGGTTTCCAGCTTATTCGTATTTTTTTTATTTGTCTTCTTAACAAGAATCTGATTAAGATTCTATTGCTCGCCATCACGTAAGAAAAAATATTACAAATAACTTTCATTACATATGAAATATGAAAAAATGATATAAACTTTCGTTCAAATACTTTCATAACTATTCCCTTGCACAATGCATATTTTTGTTAATCAGAATAGTTACATATCACTCTTATCAGTTTATTTCAAATACAACAAATTATTTCTCGTTTATCTATTCCATTTTAATTCTTCTAATGTAGGAGGATAACTATGCTACCAACAAAGAGAAAAATACAGAGAAA